CATAATGAGCACCGATATTCCCAATAATGTATGGATGCGTTAATTTTTTAATCATTAATGTTTGTGTGTTTTTTTCTTAATTTTACCAATTTTATTCATAAAAAGAATTCAATTTTAAGGCCAAAGTCAGTCCCGGACCTTGTACATGTGCAAATCGTTTAAGAGGCCGATACGCTGATTGCAGGGTCAATCTTAAGGAGTTTTTACTAAGCAGCCTAGTAAAGATTTTGTCAGACGCAGGGTAAACATTGAGAAATTTCGCAGCAGTTGACTATAAATAATAGCCAATCTTATTCAGAGGGTAGTGTTTTGTTTTGCCCGAAGCTGAATCGTATTCTAAATCGGTGTCTGGAAATGGCTGTTTGTTTATAACTAGTAGTGGCATAAGCGAAATAAAAATATGTTCAAAAATACTCGAATGATCATCTTTCAAGCGATTCTATTAGGTTCAACTTCGGTTTTATTTACATTTCATAATCAGTATCGGCTAACTTTAACAATCAAAACTGAGATGAAATCTAATTTCAAGCTCTGCTGTTCCTAAGTATTTTGTGCGTGAAAAAAATTGCCTGTTTATTTTAACACAGGGACAGCTGACCAATCCTAGGTCTCCCCCGTATACAAATTTTTTAAAGTCAATGACTTACGAATATTCAGGGCGTATTCTTAATTTAACTGATCGTTTTAGTCATGCTGAGTTTGGTTTTCTTCAGTTCTTGTTGTCGCATTTTATCTTCCATGTCAAGTGTGCGTATCTCTCGTTATCCTAATTGTCATGCCACAACCGTGAAAATTCAACTCTAACCGGGTATTTGCACGTAAGAGTCGAAGTGTCTTAAAGGCTGTGATAATTATACTGCTCACTGACATCTCAAGCAAAAAAAGCCTGTAACAATATCCCGATCGATAAAATACCTCTGTTACTGGTGCTCGCGTTCAAGAAATGCCTGAAAAAGATACAAGGCTGGAGAAGCTTGCTTTAGAGCTTTTTCGACGAGAAACTTCCCTTGTTTTGACAGAATTCTTGGTTTGTGTTTTAGTTACAACCACCTCAATTTTAGGCAACGTTTTCGTCCTCTTCGCTTTGTACAAGAATCCAAGGCTACGAAAACCGTCAAACTTTTACATTATCTCGCGAACAATGTCAGATATAACTTTTGCGGTAGCTGGCATGACCTTGGTGTGCGTCACTTCGTTTGCCGGTCGTTGGATTTTCGGGCCAACTCTCTGTTGGTTTCAAGCGTCTGTTGCTACAATGTTGGGGACCGCGTCTTGGGTCAACATGGCGCTCATTGCCGTAAATAGACTTCTTAAAGTTGTATACCCCAACATGCATCGCAAATTGGTGTCAGCGAGAACAATTTTTATCTCCATTTTTGCCGCTTGGTCGTTCACTGGTGTTATTCCACTATCGTTTTATATATTTGGAGTCAAGAATATATTTCATCCCGGCCATCAGCTATGTTTGTTTGATTTCGGCACTGCAAGTTATACGCTCATCGCATTAATAGCCATTTTCGAAACTTTTCTTCCTTATAAAGTGATCTTTATTTCCTATTTCAAAGTTTGGCGCTTCATCAAAAGTCATAAGAAAGCTTCAAATGTCTACCTCGCGAGTAAACGTAGAAGATATAAAACTTAACCGTCTATTAGCTGTAATCGTGATCTCGTTCACCATTTGTTTTACTCCATTCTTCGTAATGATTTTGATTGATACTTCTCCAGAAAAGTTTTCGCTTCCTCGACTACTTTATTTTTTTGCGACTGTGACTGTAGGAGCTGCTAGCTGTATTAATCCTATGATTTACGGAATCATGAACAAAGAATTCAGACGAGGTTTTGTTGCCATATTTCGCAGAAAAAGAGTAAGAATAGAGATTTTGGTGGAGGAGAGAAAAATTAATGTCGCAGGAGGCGGAAATAAATTCTGTCCAGCTTAGTTTACGTGGTCCATTCTTTTTGGAAGGACTAATAAAACATAACATACATTCTAAATTCTTTAAAACAGGGGCACCATTTCTGTGGCTGAAATTTTCGAAAAGGTAAGTTTTGATCCCTATGATTTCTGATCACTAGACTTTCAGCTAGAAAATCCGCACGGATGAAAAATTTTTAGGGGATAAAAATATGCCTATATCTACCGTTTAAATACTAAAATACGTTTAACAATGCTATGTTTAAGTGGTTTTGAACTATATTCTCGTTGGGTGCCCCTGTTAAAAGCAAACTGGAAGATATATAAACAGAACTGCATCGACGTTGTATTTGCATTTATCGACCTACTGTCACAATACCACTAAATTGGAAATTGATTCCTCTTTATTGTAAATCTTTCAGAGCAGTTTGTGTTTAAAATGAATCCCCTATAAACTTAGACACAGGGATAGCTGACCAGTCTTAAGGCTATGCCTACCCTAAGTCTCCCTTAAGATATTTAATTAGTAATGAACAACTGTGATAGTCACGTTTGGACATATGACAGTTCCTTCCGATTTTAAGCGATTCTTATTCTGTGCTCAGTTTTCACTTTTCCTATAATAATTAAATATTTTCAATCGTTGTGGCATATATCCGTAATCGTGCGTGCGTAATTTTCGTTATCCTAATTAAAACACTACATTTGTTAACTCAGCATTCGCATGCAATTGAAATGAATCGAAACTGCGGTGTATATACTGTTTCCTTTCATCTAATCTCAGTAAAATTCCTACTACCTATTACTGTGAATGCGCACACATGCTCGCTCGCAAGAAAAGTTTGAAAATAAGACACACAGCTAGAGACGCTTGATTAAGGCAGGATTTCACTAGCAAACGATTCGGAGTCAGAGAAACCGAGTGAGCGTTAAAGTCGTAAGAAGAGTTAGAAGATCGAAAAAGGAAACGTTCTGATTCTTCCGATTCCGATTCCGTCGCGCTTATGACTTAGTCCACTAAAGACTAGGATTTTTGATTTGGCTAGGTAGGCGCTCTTACGACTCCGACTGAGATTCCGTGGCCAGTGAAAACCACTACAGGTGTAGGTCTGAACATCTTCTTAATCGAGAAATTTTCCTTCTTATATTTATGACCGAGTTATTATTATGTGTTATCAGTTACAACCGCCTCAATGTGGAAAGATGCGGCCCATGTTTGTACCGAGTTAGCTAGTAATTTATATGTACAGTATGTTGCCCAGTATCCGGACTGTACCAGTATCCGGACACTTAAAAAAAAAAACTCAATTTTTGAGGCGCCCTTTTCAGTTCTCGGTAAACGAAGTATTTCGAATGAAAGCTGAACATTTCAGCTTTAAGACGAAGGTTTTGGCGATTTGAAAGCTTGCGAAACAGTCGCAGAAGAGCGCCGTTCTGTTCAGGTGAGTAAACTTTTCATGGCTAATTATTTACGCTGTTTACTGCCCAGTAAAATTAGTGCTGCTCAGAAAAGGGAGCGTAATGTGTGATATTTTCAAAGAAACTGTTTTATTTTTAAAGTGAAGATACTTAAGGAAGTCAGGTTTTCAGAAAGTTTATTAATTCTTCTGGAAATTCGATTTGTTTGGAATAACGGAGGCCAGAAACATTTACTATGTTTTGATGTCATGAGCCCAGTATCCGGACAGTTTTTTCTTTGCTGTACAGAATCGATGAATTAGCTATGTAAATAATCCGGATAAGATTTATTTCATATCAGTAACTACAGTTAAAGCTTAGGATATATGATATAGTCGTAAAATGTAATTCTACTCAACTCCGTATGGAAATTTTCTTCACTCATGCATTCAGAGGCGAGTTGATTTCGTGTCACGGCTTGTTTCGCGTGAATGCATTTTCTGTATATAACTGAAAGCGTCTGAGTTGAACCTGGAATTCTCATACTTTCCCAAGTTGTGACTGCTAGAATGGGGTTGCAACGGTCTGATAAAATGTCACAAAGGGATTGAGAGATTTGAAAGAAGGAGCAATTAGTGTTAGAAAAGCAGGCTTATTGTGGGGACTAAGCATGAAGAAATCAAAACTGCAGGTCCGACTAAATAGGAGAGTGACCTTTGACCGTCGGGTTGAGGTCCCTTCCCCAAGCGTTTTTTTTTTAAATAAAAAATGAAGAAAGAAAGTCGCTTGCAGATTGGCTAATTGAGCTTGCAAACTGCGGTTTCGGCATGTCCACGGATGCCTTCCTTAAATCAGTGAAAAAGTTCCTAGACAAGGAAGTAAGAATTATACCATTTTTAAAACAGCCGCTCGCGTTCCCCACCATACCCCAGTCATTTGTTATGTTTTATTTCACGATGCTAGGTTATATTTTTGGAATCGATTGCAATACTACTTTGCAAGTGCAAGAGAAGCTTATAAGTCGCTTGCTTGTCGAAATTTATGTACAATTACGTTGTTATTGTTGTGTCCGGATACTGGGCCAGCTGTCCGGATACTGGGCAACATAGGAGCTCTGCAAAAATACTAATTTCGCCATGGAAACAAAGGCAAAAAAGTTAAACTGTCTTTTTTCATATTAAGGACTAGATGGATTTTCTCTGGGCCAAATTTCAGAGCTCCTGCGATTAACAAAGGAAAGTTATTGCAATCTTAAACTGAAGTGTCCAGATATTAGGCAACATACTGTATCTTTCGGCACCAATGTGCCATAAAATCAAAACAAAATTAATCTGCAATACATCATTTATTCATCCTTGTTCTTATTAAAAGTTAACATATCAATAAAATCGGAGGTATTGCCTTAATAAACTTTACTGACCTCAGTGAGCATCATCAAAGTCCCTAAAAGAGAGTTTAATTGTGTTTTTTACAGCCGTAAAGTTGTGAAATAAGAAAGCGAATCCACAACAAAGCTATTAAAAAAAGTCATTATCGCACATCTTTGTCGATTTCCCTTGCCTTATAAATAAATATACAAAACAATATGCAGCAAATCATATCTATGTTACAGGGGAACGGAATTTAAGAATTCAACAGGATTTGATCCCAGGAGCTCCTGCATCACCACAGCTCATGGATGCAGACGTGCTGCTATTTTGTTTGAGCGACGTATTTTTTCCACCCTTTCCCGCTACCCTGAAATATAATTGGGTCACTTTCCGGTGAAAACAGACCTTAAAGCTGTCGTTTCAATTGCTCGTAAGAATCAATAACTCGCTCACATAAATCGTAATTGTTGCGTGTTGGCAGGAAAAGTCACCAAAAGATATTTGTCATTCATTACATTTGGTTTGTAGGGGGAAAGCGGAGGTTCAAAAAATAATGCGTGAGAAATCAGTGAAAGGTTCCGGCAATTCTGCTTTTTTACAAAAAGATCAACTCTGCTACTTGAAAAGAGCAGAAAAAGTAACTTTCTGCATTTATTTTTCATAGAACAACATGCAAAATTGTTACCTCTTTTGTTAATGCTAGTCGATCAGGTGAAAAGTTAACAAAAGGTACCTTTTTAGAAAAAAAAGGCGGGTATTTTAAGCTTTCGGGTGAAAATATTTTAAGGTCAATATTGTCCGCTTTTCATCCATTTTTCACTTTACCAAACAAAACTTTAAAGCGCGAAAAAGGTACCGTTTTTTGCGGTTTAGAAACGTTCCTATCAAAAGAGCAAAAAAGGTACCTTTTTTGCGGTTGGAAGCGATGTTCTCATAAGTGCGAAAAAGGAACCTTAAAAATAACTTACGTTTCAATTAAAATCCTACTGATTGACAGATGTCAAGCAACCATTGGCGCCCCTAACGAAAGACACACAGACGTTTTTAGGGGACTCTATGTCCCGTTTCTACAATCGAATTTCGCAGTCCCGAATCTAATTAAAACGAGTAAAACCCATCCTAGACTGCCCTAGAAACACCTGTATGGGAGGCTATTCCTCAGTGGCCCCGGCTTTTTAACAGAAATGGCTTGGACGCGCACTATCGTGTCCTGCATTATTGGCATATTTTCCGACCTACGTACGTGGACGAGGGTCTACTATGGGGAATCATCAGACTAAAAAAAAATAGCTGGCTCCTTTTAGCCGATCAAAATTGAGAAACTAGACTGAATGGCTACCATCCAAATGGATGAAAAAGCTACTGGTTCTTTTAAACTAGATGCATGTGGAGGACCTAAGCAAGCCGGCCCATTTTTAAGCGTGGAGCGAAGACTTAAAAAAAGTCCTATGTGAAAAGTCGAACCATTTTAATCTGAGAAAAAAAAAATATCAGATTCTACGTCGATCTACGACAAACAGCAGAGAAGTGTTTTTTTCTTTTAAGTCTAAACTGAGCGGGTTATCATAATAACTGTTTTGTTTCGTGGGTGCCTTTTTTCACTCCGGAACGGGTTATTAGAGACTTCAGTCAGGTTCAGTCCAGTGGTTTAATAAACTGTTTTGCAATAAAGCAAACTTGATTTCGAATTTGACCTCGGGTGACTTTTGAGCAGCAAGCAAATGGCGCCAAACGGCTGACATCTGTCAATCAGTAGAATTTGAAACGGCTTTCAAATATAGTTTGAAAACGCCATTTATTTTTAAGGTTCCTTTTTCCCACTTATGAGAACATCGCTTCCAACCGCAAAAATGGTACCTTTTTCGCGCTTTAAAGTTTTGTTTGGTGAAGTGAGAAATGGATGAAAAGCAGTCAATATTGAGGTTAAAATATTTTCACCCGAGAGCTTAAGATACCCGCCTTTTTTTTCTAAAAAGGTACCTTTTTTTAACTTTTCACCTGATCGACTAGCATTAACAAAAAAGGTAACAATTTTGCATGTTGTTCTATGAAAAATACATGCAGAAAGTTAAGTTTTCTGCTCTTTTCAAGTAGCAGAGTTAATCTTTTTGTAAAAAAGTAGAATTGCCGGAACCTTTCACTGATTGTGAGACCCTCATGTGGGGTCTTTAGAGGTTCAAGTCAGTTGTGAGGGTAGGGAGAAAAGGAGTTTTCTCTTTTCGTATGGACCTAAAGGTTTTGACGGCTGATTTGAAAACTTCTGTTTATTGATGAAAACTGATCCGAGACGTCTCGCCTGCCTACTTGAAAACCTAGTAAAATACCCTTGAAGATCGATAAATGGTAATACCATGCCTTAAGTAATGTATTGTTTGTATGCCTGAAAAGGTAGATATTGAAAGTGGAGCCATTCGAAATGCTACGCTCCCCTCCCTCCCCAAAAACCAAACACTAAAAGCACTCCCTAAGGGTAAAGTAATTATTACAACACTTTGACAAATAAATGTTCACTGTTGCTACTATCCAACGACACTTTTAAATTGCACATCCTATTTCTTCGGTCAGAGTCTTTATTAGCCTCGCACGCAGGCGTTTTTAGGGGAGTCGTGTTTTCTCCCTCCCCACAAACACCTGCTTACCCAAGACCAACATTCCTTTCCGCGGCTTAGCCAATCACATTGTACCTGCCAAATTCTGTTAAACATTGAGCAGGGTAAGCAGGCGTTTGTGGGGAGGGAGGAAATGCGTAGGAAGCTTATTTACTATCAGGTTTTTTTCGAGACGCTCTTTTGGGGGAATGAGCGCTGGCTCATTTTCCCGAACAGCGGCTAGTAATCGAGCCTAGAGTCTTCTATTTAGAATGCCTTCTCCTGGTCTACGTTTATTTATTCTGGTCGAATTGTTTTCGCTTCGCGCGCGTGGGCGCCCCCATTCACTAAAAGGTCTTGGATTAGAAAATCACTTATCCCACAAAACCAAGCCGCTCTAAGTATTAATATTGTTCCTCTGTTGTTCAATTTTGTTTTCCACAGAAAAAATCCCTTGTTCGTTTCCACGCTTCCAGTTTTTGAATCATTCCATCTACACGTCCCAGGTTTGGTCTAATAATGTCAACAATTAGCACAACGCGATCCTTTTCTGAACCATTACAAGCAGAATGTTCAAAAGTGTCGTCGAACAAGATCCCTTTTCCCTCTTTCCATGGTACATCAACGCCGATTTACTGTCAGCCATGAACGTTTCCCGTTGTATGGTACAATCAACGCCAGATGATAGCGAAGAATAGACGCGGTAGACCCAGAGTGCGGCGGAATTGATCCTGCTGCTTTCAGAAGTGAAAATGCAGCATTTTGAACTTCAGGAAGCTTTGTTAATATCGAGAGTGTGACAGGAAAAAAAGTCTTAATCTCGTCTATGGGTTTGCCGTAGCCTAAAATCATCGCCAGTTTCCATTTGCTTTCTGTATTGAGCTCGCTGCCACCAGTTGTGTGTACGTTGCACATTCCAGCGCCATTTTTCACGAACAAAATCAGCTCATCTCGAATAGCTTCCCAGTTAGCTTCCAGCTGATGCAACCATGGAAACATCTGAAGATAATTCTTGAACACGGCTGTTTCAGTAAAAAGAAAACATGTTTAAACAAAACCGAAATAACTTAGGTACTAAGTACACGCGACTTTTTGTTACTTTACTATAAAACCTAGTATCAGAGTCTATATTTAGTTTCGTTGCTTGGTGGTAAATCATGATAAATTACACGTCTTGAGAATGAATTAAATCACCGCTAATGATAAGCTGTTGTCTTGATTCTGAAAAAATTTACCCAAACTGGTAGACAAGAAATTTGTCAANCCCCCATTCACTAAAAGGTCTTGGATTAGAAAATCACTTATCCCACAAAACCAAGCCGCTCTAAGTATTAATATTGTTCCTCTGTTGTTCAATTTTGTTTTCCACAGAAAAAATCCCTTGTTCGTTTCCACGCTTCCAGTTTTTGAATCATTCCATCTACACGTCCCAGGTTTGGTCTAATAATGTCAACAATTAGCACAACGCGATCCTTTTCTGAACCATTACAAGCAGAATGTTCAAAAGTGTCGTCGAACAAGATCCCTTTTCCCTCTTTCCATGGTACATCAACGCCGATTTACTGTCAGCCATGAACGTTTCCCGTTGTATGGTACAATCAACGCCAGATGATAGCGAAGAATAGACGCGGTAGACCCAGAGTGCGGCGGAATTGATCCTGCTGCTTTCAGAAGTGAAAATGCAGCATTTTGAACTTCAGGAAGCTTTGTTAATATCGAGAGTGTGACAGGAAAAAAAGTCTTAATCTCGTCTATGGGTTTGCCGTAGCCTAAAATCATCGCCAGTTTCCATTTGCTTTCTGTATTGAGCTCGCTGCCACCAGTTGTGTGTACGTTGCACATTCCAGCGCCATTTTTCACGAACAAAATCAGCTCATCTCGAATAGCTTCCCAGTTAGCTTCCAGCTGATGCAACCATGGAAACATCTGAAGATAATTCTTGAACACGGCTGTTTCAGTAAAAAGAAAACATGTTTAAACAAAACCGAAATAACTTAGGTACTAAGTACACGCGACTTTTTGTTACTTTACTATAAAACCTAGTATCAGAGTCTATATTTAGTTTCGTTGCTTGGTGGTAAATCATGATAAATTACACGTCTTGAGAATGAATTAAATCACCGCTAATGATAAGCTGTTGTCTTGATTCTGAAAAAATTTACCCAAACTGGTAGACAAGAAATTTGTCAAGAACTTACATGGAGAGAGAGATAGAAAACTCCTCTGTGAAAACACATTTAGTCTAACATGACAAATGACTATCTTAAAGGCATCGAAGGCAAGATTATTGTAAACGAAAATGTCCCTGCAAATCCACGCCTGTACCGGTGAGGCATTTTATACAAGTAAGTACAAACCAACCCTCAAGTTCCGTGAGAAATGCAGTGAGCTTGCAGTCCTTTCCTTTTAGAGACTATCTTAATACAAGTATAGCTCCTCCTATCCCTGATGATGCGCGCCTTTGATCGGCAAAACTCGGATCATTTTCATTTTCATTTTTAATTACGGCACTGAAAGGCCTCACTCAAACAATATTTAGACTATACACACTACACAGGATAGCTTTTCGCGCGCTCCACTTTTTGTGATCGGCCCGGCGCATCTTCGCTCTGTCACAACCGTTCCTGCGTGTGAACAGAAGTCCTTTCTGTATGGTTATGCCGGACAATAATTTTCAAGGAGGTATGTAAATAGACTACGAGT